TACCCACTAAGCTACCTGCCGCCCCTAGTATCATCTCTGAGCTCTGACTTCACCCACATACTGAAGCAAATTACCTTGACAACAGCCTTTTCAGCAGTTAAATACAACAACAAAACAATATGTATATTAAAACAATATATTAATAGGGTTTTTGAACACTATAATTTGTTTACAAGCATGATAGCTGTACTTTTATTTCATGATTGAGGCATTTAGTTTGATATTAGCCAATCAGCGTTCTAAATTAGTTCACAGCATGTGAATGCTTACAATTCGTTGCTCCCAGTTTACTATAAGTATTTTGAAAGTTTCCCACGTGTTATGAACGCAGCATTAGTTTGGGACTGTTGTTTTGTGGATGAGGTTTTGGTAGGTGGAGTCTTGGGTTGTTGTGTTGAGGGTTTGGTAGGTGGGGTCTTGGGTTGTTATGTTGAGGTTCTGGTAGGTGGAGTCTTGGGTTGTTGTATTGATGTTACCCTCTCTTACTCCTTGCAATCTCCATAGACAAACATTGCCATTCGAATGACCCTACTGAAGAACTCAGTGACTTTCAACGTGGCACCGTCATAGGATGCCACCTTTCCAACAAGTCAGTTTGTCAAATTCCTGTCCTGCTAGAGCTGCCCCGGTCAACTGTAAGTGCTGTTATTGTGAAGTGGAAACGCTACCCCAACATCATACAATGACATTCTAGACGATTCTGTGCTTCCAACTTTGTGGCAACATTTTGGGGAAGGCCCTTTCCTGTTTCAGCATGACAATGCCCCCGAGTACAAAGTGAGGTCCATACAGAAATGGTTTGTCGAGATCGGTGTGGAAGAACTTGACTGGCCTTTACAGAGCCCTGACCTCAACCCCATTGAACACCTTTGGGATTAATTGGAACGCCGACTGAGAGCCAAGCCTAATTACCTAGCATCAGTGCTCTTGTGGCTGAATGGAAGCAAGTCCCTGCAGAAATGTTCCTAAATCTAGTGGCAAGCCTTCCAAAAAGAGTGGATGCAGTTATAGCAGCAAATGGGGGAACAACTCCATATTAATGCCCATGATTTTGGAATGAGATGTTCAACGAGCAGGTGTCCACATACTTGCAGTGTCCACATACTTTAGGTCATGCAGTGTATCATAAACAATGGCTGCAGTGTGTGTGTCTGTTGCCTGCGTGCATGTACAGTGGCATGCAAAAGTATTCACCCCCCTTGGCATTTTTCCTATTTGTTGCCTTACAACCTTGAATTAAAATGGATTTTTTGGGGGTTTGTATCATTTGATTTACACAACATGCCTACCACTTTGAAGATGCAAAATATGTTTTTGGGTGAAACAAACAAGAAATAAGACAAAAAAACACAAAACTTCACATGCATAACTATTCACCCCACGCTACCCCCAACCCTGATCTGTACTTCTCCACAACTCTGTCCCTGACCTGTTTGGAGAACTCCTTAGTCTTCATGGTGCCGCTTGCTTGGTGGTGCCACTTGCTTAGTGGTGTTGCAGATTCTGGGACCTTTCAGAACAGATCTATATATACTGAGATCATGTGACAGATCATGTGACACTTAGATTGCACAGAGATGTACTTTATTTAACTAATTATGTGACTTCTGAAGGTAATTGGTTGCACCAGATCTTATTTAGGGGCTTCATAGCAAAGGGGGTGAATACATATGCACGCACCACTTTTCCGTTATTTATTTATTTCGAATTTATTGAAACAAGTTATTTTTTTCATTTCACTTCACCAATTTTGACTATTTTGTGTATGTCCATTACATGAAATCCAAATAAAAATCATTTTAAATTACAGGTTGTAATGCAACAAAATAGGAAAAACGCCAAGGGGGATGAATACTTTTGCAAGGCACTATACATATACACTACCAGTCAAAAGTTTGGACACACCTACTCATTCAAGGGTTTTTCTTTATTTTTTTTACAATTTTTTACATTGTAGAATAATAGTGAAGACATCAAAACTATGAAATAACACATATGGAATCATGTAGTAACCAAAAAAAGTGTTAAACAAATCAGAATATATGTTATATTTGAGATTCTTCAAATAGCCACCCTTTGCCTTGATGACAGCTCTGCACATTGTCCGACCTTGGTCTCGGCAGTGAGTCTCAATAAGACAAAGATAATGGTGTTCCAAAAAAGGTCCAGGACCACAAATACAACTTCCATTTAGACACCGTTGCCCTAGAGCACACAAAGAACTATACCTACCTCGACCTAAACATCAGCACCACAGGTAACTTCCACAAAGCTGTGAACAATCTGGCAAAAAGGGCCTTCTATGCCATCAAAAGGAACAACAAATCCTGTCTAAATAAACTTAAATCAGTTGTAGTACCCATTGCCCTTTATGGTTGTGAGGTCTGGGGTCCGCTCACCAACCAAGAATTCACAAAATGGGACAAACAACACATTGAGACCTTTCATGCAGAATTTTGCAAAAACATCCTCTGTGTACAACATATAACACCAAATAATGCATGCAAAGCAGAATTAGGACTACACGCTATACTGATTTATGACGCAACTTTTAAACGAGGAACCACTGTAGCCTTGCTATCGAGAGAGGACTCCATAGGCAGACCTGGCTCTCAAGAGAAGACAGGCTATGTGCACACTGCCCACAAAATGAGGTGGAAACTGAGATGCACTTCCTAACCTCCTGCTAAATGTATGACCATATTAGAGACACATATTTCCCTCAGATTACACAAACCCACAAAGACTTAGAAAACAAATGAAATGTTGACAAACTCTCATATCTATAAGGTGAAATACCACAGTGTGCCGTCACAGCAACACGATTTGTGACCTGGTGCCACAAGAAAGGGGCAACCAGTGAAGAACAAACACCATTGTAAATAGAACCCATATTTATGTTTATTTATATTTCCTTTTGTACTTTAACCATTTGCACATTGTTACAACACTGTATTTAAGTGATAATGCCCAAGAAACTGGTGTTTGGAGGATATATTGGCATGGGTGTTGTTATTGCCAATATAGCTTCCAAACACCGGCTTCCAGGGCACTATCACTTTTATGCAAGGGGTTACCTATCACGGCTCAGGCTAAGACCCAGATGCAGACACAGGAGGCGGATAGTACGAGTCTCAGAGTTTATTATAGTACAAGGGGCAGGCAAAAGGTAGGTCAAGGCAGGCAAAGAGTCGTAATCCAAATCAGAGTCAGGCAGGTACAGGACGGCTGTCACGCCCTGGCCGCGAGAGGCCTGTTGTCTTTAGTTGGTCTGGTCAGGGCGTGAGTTTCTATGTTATATTTTCTATGTTGCAGTTCTAGGTTGTGTGTCTATGTTTGGCCGGGTGTGATTCCCAATCAGAGACAGCTGTCGCTCGTTGTCTCTGATTGGGGATCATACTTAAGTAGCCTGTTTGCCTACCTTAGTTGTGGGATCTTGTTCCGTGTTAGGCTTGTATGTGTATAGCCTGAGGACTTCACGTTACGTTGTTTCTTGTTTTGTTTATGTTTATTGAGTTAAATAAACATGTACGCTTTTCACGCTGCACCTTGGTCTGACCCGTCTCTCAACGATCGTGACAACGGCAGGCAGGATCAGGGTCAGGACAGGCAGAAAGGTCAGAACTGGGAACACTACGAAAAACAAAAACTAGAGCACAGGAAACACGGGAACACGCTGGTAGGACTTGACGGAACAAGACGAACTGGCAACAGACAAACAGAAATCACAGGTATAAATACACAGGGGATAATGGGGAAAATGGGAGACACCTGTTGGGGGGTGGAGACAAGCACAAGACAGGTGAAACAGGTCAGGGTGTGACTTTACCAGCATATTCAAATAACGATTGACATATTTTCATTAAAAACATTATTTTTATTAATTTATTCATAGTGTTTCATCCGTCCACAAGACAACACTCCCGACACAAATCTAGGGTTGCTTCCCAAGCCGGCTGGTCGTTCGTTCTATCGGTTCGGTTGCCAGAAACGTGACCCAGTCATTCAGTCTTTTTGTTCTAAATGTTCCATTGCCATACTGGCTGGCAACGTTTTTATCCTTTGCTTGCTAGCTAGACAACTACAGCTAACAGTGCAGCCAGAATAACAACAGTAGGGCATTTGCATGTGTTTAAGCAGTTTTCTAGTGACATTTATTTGGATACATCCATAACAATGTGCTAATGAGGCACTATTTCGCATGGCATAGAATGCTAGCCAACAAAATAGCTAACACATTCACTTCGTACCGAAGCTGGAAACACTGCAAACTAGCTGCTCTTTTTTCAATTTACATTTCTTTGTATATATCCATAAAAATTATGCCAGCTGATTCATGATTTCGACTGGCTGAGAAATGCTCAGTGCCTGTCTGTCTTGTCCCGAAACGTTCATTACTATAGGACAGCTGGAGATCGAATTTGAATGTTGAAACAATGTTGCAAATGTCGGAGAGACAGACAGCAATGTTTATACAAATCTCTGCTGTTGAAAACAAAATGTTAGTTTAAAAGAAATGTGAGATAATCTCTAGATGCTTTTATAGTGGAGATCAAGTTTATAAATTGCCGGCTGGGCTGATGAGACAGTGGATTGTGCAGTCAGATGGAACAGAGTAAATAGGCATTTCAACGTCATAGATTTAGCCGGTGGTAACTTGTGGAATAGACACCGGCTGGAATGAGGTTTTAACCAATCAGTGTCCAGGATTAGACCCACCCGTTTTATAAATAGACATAATATGACATTTGAAATGTCTCTGTTCCTTTGGAACTTTCGTGAGTGTAATGTTTACTGTTTATTTTTGATTGTTTATTTCACTTTTGTTTATTTTCTATTTCACTTGCTTTGGCAACGTAAACATATGTTTCCCATGCTAATAAAGCCTTTGAATTGAATTGAGAGAGAGAGAGAGAGAGAGAGAGAGAGAGAGAGAGAGAGAGAGAGAGAGAGGATAAAGAGTGTGTGATAAGTTCAGAGGTAGGTGGATGGTTGAGTATTTAACCTGTAGAGTGGTAGTTTCCCTCAGTCTCTCTAGATGTGAATGCTGGTGGTACAAAGAGGACATGGGGTCTGGTTGTCAGAGATGAGGTTTTAAATACGTTAAAACATGAATTAAACTATGAGTGAGAGATTTGAGAACATGTGATTGAGTGTTAACTTACCACCACACCATAGGTCCCAGAGTCTTCAGGATCATTGATGATAACAGTGAAGTCTCCATCTCCTCTGTCATCTATACTGTATCTCCCTCTCTCAATATAGTTCTTGCTGTCCTCAGTTTGAACCAGAATATCTGAACCAGTGCAGGTGTCCTTGCAGAAGTCTTTTATGTTTTTCTGTGTGAATCTATGTGAGCATTTGATTTCCACCTGTCCTCCTACAAGTCCAGTCACTGCCAAACCCTCTGACTCAACTGGACACAGAGCTGTCACATGAAAACATGAGAAATAGTCCAGTTCATATTAAAACCTGTCACCCCAACACTTCATCTTTCTAAATGTACTGTTACACACTATTTGTATGAATACATAAAACACACACTAAAGTACCTACAGTATGTCATAAAACTGTAATACAAAAACCCCAAAAAAGGGGAAAAAGGGGGGGGAAAAATTTTTTTGGCCCCCCCCCCCTTTTTTTTTTTTTTCCCCCCCTTTCCCCCCTTTTCTCTCTCTCTCTTCTTCTCTCTCTCTCTTTTTTTCCCCCCCCCCCCTTTTTTTTCTCTCTCTTTTCCCCCCTTTTTTTTTTTCCCCCCCCCCCTTTTTTTTTTTTTTTTCCCCCCCCCCGGGGGAGGAAAAATTTTTTGGGGGGGGGGGGGCCCCCCCCCCAAAAAACCGGGGGGGTTGGGGGGAATTGGTTTCTGGGGCCCCCCCCAAAAACCCCCGGGGGGTTTGGGGGGGGGGGCCCCCCCAAAATTTTTTCCCCCTTCCCTTTTTTGGGGGGGCCCCGGGGGGTTTTTTAAAAAATTTTTTAAAATTTGGGGGGGTTTTTGGGCCTTTTCTTTTAAAAAAAAAGGGGGTTTTCCCAATGGCCCGGCAAAGGGGGGATTAAAGGGGGTTTTTTTTTAAACAAGGGGAGGAATGGTTGTCTCTGGAAGGGTCTCCCGTCTCCACAAGGAACTTGGAGCGCTGTCAGAAGTGACCATGGGTTATTGGTTCACATCCCTGACCAATCCTTCTCCCGATTGCTCAGTTGGCCGGGCGGCCACTATAGGAACTGAGTTTGTGGTTCCCAAACTTATTCCATTTAAGAATGTGGAGCCACTGTGTCCTGGGGACCTTCTATGCGCAGAATGGTTTTGGTACCTTCCCCTGAGCTGTGATCCCCGGACAACCAATCCTGTCTCTGGATCTCTCCTGGACACGCTTGGTTTTGGCTCTGGACATGCACGGTCAAACTGTGGGACCTTATATAGACAGGTCTGTGCCTTTCCAAATCATGTCCAATCAATTGATTTTACCACAGGTGGACTCTAATCAAGTTGTAGAAACTTCTCAAGGATGGTCAATGGAAACAGGATGAACCTGAGCTTAATTTCGAGTCTCATATCAAAGGGTCTGAATTCTTATGTAAATAAGGTATTTCTGTTTTTTTGTTTTTAATACATTAGCAAAATTTTCTAAAAACCTGTTCTTGCTTTGTCATTATGGGGTATTGTGTTTAGATTGATGAGGAATATTATTATTATTTATTTCATTTTAGAAGCAGGCTAACGTAACAAAATGTAGAGAAAGTCAATATATTTTATACAATGTTTATTAACTAGTGACGACCATGAGAGAGTGTTGAATTTGGTCAACATAAACAGATTTATATTACACCAAAAAACACAATATACTAGTACAGGGTAACAATAATAATAATAATAATAATAATAATAATAATAATAATAATAATAATAATAATAATAATCAACTGGGTGATTATCACTAGAAGTCTCAGTCAGAGACAGTATAACTCTTCTCCCAGTAATACCAGAGACAGTATAACTCTTCTCCCAGTAATACCAGAGACAGTATAACTCTTCTCCCAGTAATACCAGAGACAGTATAACTCTTCTCCCAGTAATACTAGTATAAGTCTCAGTCAGAAAGAGACAGTATATATCTTCTCCCAGTAATACTAGTAGAGGTGTCAGCCAGAGACAGTATAACTCTTATCCCAGTAATACCAGAGACAGTATAACTCTTCTCCCAGTAATACTAGTATAAGTCTCAGTCAGAAAGAGACAGTATATATCTTCTCCCAGTAATACTAGTAGAGGTGTCATCCAGAGACAGTATAACTCTTATCCCAGTAATACCAGTGGAAGTCTCAGTCAGAGACAGTATAACTTCAGTATAAAATATTAAAATGTAAATAGTTGTTTTTATTTGTCTTCTGTTTGTCTTCTTTGAAAGTGATGAAGATGATGCAGATGGTGATGATGACCAATTCAGTAACTGGGTGTTCAATTATATAGGTTGAGACACACTAACCATTTCCTTGAAATAGCCCACGTGTCCTGCGTGTTTTCTGAACGGATCTCATGCTGCAAGTCTGTGGTCGCGTTATGAAACATTTTCAAACTGTCTGTTCAGTTTAAAACCACAAGAGAACACCATAGAAGATTCTGAGAGGGAAGAATGGGCGGGTCAAGTAAAATGTCCACTTCTATTTCAGCACTAAAGTACTGTCTATGCTGTATCAAGAAATACAAACATCCTAAGAAATAGCCGGTTGTTCCACATTTATTTTCAACTTGATATCAGAACAACATTTATGTCAACATGAAGATTTTTTCTATTTTACAAAAAAGTCAAACTTTCAACATAGGCCAGAAATACAGTATTTCATAATGTCAATGTCACTTACATGTTGGGCACAACACATTATATACAGAATATTTATATACATATTTATTTCTTATATATTTTATACTAATGTAAAATAAAGTTACATGATAGAGAAGTGAATAACCAAAAGAAGTCTCCCAGTCTAGTCCAGAAGTCTCCCAGTCTAGTCCAGAAGTCTCCCAGTCTGGTCCAGAAGTCTCCCAGTCTAGTCCAGAAGTCTCCCAGTCTGGTCCAGAAGTCTCCCAGTCTGGTCCAGAAATCTCCCAGTCTAGTCCAGAAGTCTCCCAGTCTGGTCCAGAAGTCTCCCATTCTGGTCCATAAGTCGATTATTAATGAATTCATTAGATTGTCTGATATCACAGTTGGGAGAAAAGACTCCAAACTACACTGTAAAAAAAATAGGCCAGTTACCTTTAAGTTACTGTAAAAAAAAGTACAGTATATTATTGTAAATGCAACAGAAACTTTGGTTTGTAATGTACTGTTAAACCTGAGTTTCTTTGGAATTTACAATAACATACTGTACTTTTTTAAAGTAATGTGTTTGGTTGCAGTACGTTTCCGTAAAAACAACAGGATTCTTTTTACAGTGTACTTGCTAGCATCTAGTAAGTGAGTATCTTAAGTAGACTCAGCGATATGAAGTAGATGCATAAAGTAAACAGCATAGTGGGTCATTTTCCGCAACAACTAAGAACGTTTAAATGCGAGGGTAGACTTCTCGGATGTTTTGGTCACAGACCTACCACGCTGTGACAGGATGAAGCGAACCTGTGCACATGCGCATGTACCTGTGTGAGAGCGAAGTCTTGCATGTTGCCCATCGCAATATCTGTGGTGGTGCTCGTGGCAATGTCATTTTGCTGAGTTTTCATATACATGTTCACTGGTGATTTTGGATCGTAAAAAGTACCAACATTGAAGCCTATATTACAACAGGAGGCAACATAGGCAGACTTTGTCTTTTTTGGCTGGGGTGTTCACGGGCGCAGGGGGAAACAAAGTCTGCCTATGGGAGGCAATAGAAACACTTCCACTTCAAAAGCCGCAAATTAGTCCCTAAATCCAATCTTTGTTTGCAGTTCCAGGTTTTGGTAAATTGAATCTTGGTTTGCAGTCTTCTGGTTCATGGTTTGGTTAGTTGAATCTTGGGTTGTTGCAGTGTTGGGGTTCAGGCTTTGGTAAATTGAATCTTGGTTTGCAGTGTTGGGGTTCAGGCTTTGGTAGACAGCATCATCGTTTTTGATATGAACCATGGTGTCTGTAGCAGGGTCATTCTCATAGTCCTGGTTCCCCTGAAAAGTTACAACAACATTAGGCCATAATCGGTACCATCAGACAGTGGTGTTATGTCCATAGTCCTTATTTGGGGAAATATGAACGTGCTTTATTCTGTATTCATGTTGTATAAATACATTTGATGAATTGTTACAGGTGATGATCTGAATGGTTAGGTTAAATCTGTTAATCTGTTAGCTCAGCAGACACCCCGATGACCAACCACCCCGTCCTAACCTTTAACCCCTCACCTCCTCACTGTTTCCTGGGTGGGTGTTTGTTCTGCTAGAGGTCTGTCTGCTGGAGGAGACCAGCCCTGTGGAACACACAACATCTTAAATAGAGTGCACACTTGTAATGTTTTGTGTGTGTTTGGGCGTGTGTGCGTGTGTGTCTGAAACATACCTTGCACCTTGTTACATTTCCATCTGTAGACTGTGAACAGGATGACAGTTAACACCAACACAGTTAGACACACAGACACCATGATCACTACAAACTCTGGGGTGGATGAAGAGGTGGGTGAGGTTGGTGGTGCGGATGGTGGTGCAGGAGACCTGGATATCACTGAGGTGAAAACATCATGTACAGTGGGGGAAAAAAAGTATTTAGTCAGCCACCAATTGTGCAAGTTCTCCCACTTAAAAAGATGAGAGAGGCCTGTAATTTTCATCATAGGTACTGTAGTGTATTAAGAATTATGACTTTGCTAATGTTTTTAAGTGGAACCTGAGAGGATGTTTATTCAGTTTCAGAGGGAGCCGTTTTAGGGTGACACCCCATAGAACAGACAGAGTCTGTGTGTTGTAGACAGGGGATTGGACAATATGGGGAACCCCCCATATTTTGGGAAAGATTATAAGTACTGGGTTTGAACAAAGAACATTAGAGCAGCAGACATATTCTTTTCGGACACTGCTCTCCGGATGCTCTAGACATCTGTAAACTTATGCTGAAATCTTGTGATATGAATAAAACTTATGATCAAAGTTCAGTATAAGCGGACTCCTTTGTTTAACAGCATAATTAGCAACATTGACTCGACACTACAGTACACGTCAACTATGACAGACAAATAGAGATTTTTTTTTCTCCAGAAAATCACATTGTAGGATTTTTAATGAATTTATTTTCAAATTATGGTGGAAAATAAGTATTTGGTCACCTACAAACAAGCAAGATTTCTGGCTCTCACAGACCTGTAACTTCTTCTTTAAGAGGCTCCTCTGTCCTCCACTCGTTACCTGTATTAATGGCACCTGTTTGAACTTGTTATCAGTATAAAAGACACCTGTCCACAACCTCAAACAGCCACACTCCAAACTCCACTATGGCCAAGACCAAAGAGCTGTCAAAGGACACCAGAAACAAAATTGTAGACCTGCACCAGGCTGGGAAGACTGAATCTGCCAATAGGTAAGCAGCTTGGTTTGAAGAAATCAACTGTGGGAGCAATTATTAGGAAATGGAAGACATACAAGACCACTGATAATCTCCCTCGATCTGGGGCTCCACGCAAGATCTCACCCCGTGGGGTCAAAATGATCACAAGAACGGTGAGCAAAAATCCCAGAACCACACGGGGGGACCTAGTGAATGACCTGCAGAGAGCTGGGACCAAAGTAACAAAGCCTACCATCAGTAACACACTACGCCGCCAGGGACTCAAATCCTGCAGTGCCAGACGTGTCCCCCTGCTTAAGCCAGTACATGTCCAGGCCCGTCTGAAGTTTGCTAGAGTGCATTTGGATGATCCAGAAGAGGATTGGGAGAATGTCATATGGTCAGATGAAACCAAAATATAACTTTTTGGTAAAAACTCAACTCGTCGTGTTTGGAGGACAAAGAATGCTGAGTTGCATCCAAAGAACACCATACCTACTGTGAAGCATGGGGGTGGAAACATCATGCTTTGGGGCTGTTTTTCTGCAAAGGGACCAGGACGACTGATCCGTGTAAAGGAAAGAATGAATGGGGCCATGTATCGTGAGATTTTGAGTGAAAACCTCCTTCCATCAGCAAGGGCATTGAAGATGAAACGTGGCTGGGTCTTTCAGCATGACAATGATCCCAAACACACCGCCCGGGCAACGAAGGAGTGGCTTCGTAAGAAGCATTTCAAGGTCCTGGAGTGGCCTAGCCAGTCTCCAGATCTCAACCCCATAGAAAATCTTTGGAGGGAGTTGAAAGTCTGTGTTGCCCAGCAACAGCCCCAAAACATCACTGCTCTAGAGGAGATCTGCATGGAGGAATGGGCCAAAATACCAGCAACAGTGTGTGAAAACCTTGTGAAGACTTACAGAAAAACGTTTGACATGGTCATTGCCAACAAGGGTATATAACAAAGTGTTGAGAAACTTTTTGTTATTGACCAAATACTTATTTTCCACCATAATTTGGCAAATAAATTCATTAAAAAATCCTACAATGTGATTTCTGATTGATTGGACATGATTTGGAATGGCACACACCTGTCTATATAAGGTCCCACAATTGACAGGCCATGAGGTCGAAGGAATGATGGACTCCATCATTCTTAAACGGAAGAAGTTTGGAACTACCAAGACTCTTCCTAGAGCTGGCCGCCTGGCCAATATGAGCAGTCGGGGGAGGAGGGCCTTGGTCAGGGAGGTGACCAAGAACCCAATGGTCACTCTGACAGTGCTCCAGAGTTCCTCTGTGGAGATGGGAGACCCTTCCAGAAGAACAACGATCTCTGTAAGCACTCCACCAATCAGGCCTTTGTGGTAGAGTGGCCAGACGGAAGCCCCTAATCAGTAAAAGGCACATGACAGCCCGCTTGGAGTTTGCCAAAAGGCACCTAAAGGACTCTCAGACCATGAGAAACAAGATTCTCTGGTCTGAGAAAACCAAGATTGAATTCTTTGGCCTGAATGCCAAGCGTCATGTCTGGAGGAAACCTGGTATCATGTTTACGGTGAAGCATGGTGGTGGCAGCATCATGCTGTGGGGATGTATTTCAGTGGCAGGGACTGGGAGACTAGTCAGGATCGAGGGAAAGATGAACGGAGCAAAGTACAGAGATATCCTTGATGAAAACCTCCTCCAGAGCGCTCAGGACCTCAGACTGGGTCGAAGGTTCACCTTCCAACAGGACAACGACCCTAAGCACACAGCCAAGACAACGCAGGAGTGGCTTCGGGACAAGTCTCTGAATGTCCTTGAGTGGTCCCAGCCAGATCCTGGACTTCAACCCGATCAAACATCTCTGGAGAGACCTGAAAATAGCTGTGCAGCGATGCTCCCCATCCAACCTGACAGAGCTTGAGAGGATCTGCAGAGAAGAATGTGAGAAACTCCCCCAATACAGGTGTGCCAAGCTTGTAGCGTCATACCAAAGAATACTTGAGGCTGTAATTGCTGCCAAAGGTGCTTCAACAAAGTACTGAGTAAAGGGTCTGAATACTTATGTAAATGTGATATATCCTTTATTTTTTTGTCTTTGTCATTATGGGGTGTTGCGTGTAGCTTGATGAGGATTAAAAACAATTTAATCCATTTTAGAATAAGGCTGTAACGTAACTAAATGTTTAAAATGTGTACCCTGTATAACCTGGTATCTGGATGCTGGGCAGCTTAGAATGCAGATGTACTGTCTCAATCTATGTCTAGAGCAGTGTATCTTAATCCTGGTCCTGGGGACCCAAAGGGGTGATCATTTAGTTTTAGCCTCAGCACTACACACCTGATCCCACTAATAAAGGTTTGGTGTGTAGTGCCAGGGTCCAATAATGAGTACCACTGGTTTAGAGGTTACCTGTTGTTATGACTACCGTTGTCCTGCTGACTATGACAGGGGGGCGGAGACTGAACCTAGTGATGTCAGGCTGAATAAGCGTAGCTGAAAATAAAAATATAAATGATGTTCTGTTCTGTGTAAGACTGATGTAAGACTGTATTGTTAGAACAGGGAAGCTGAACAGGAAGTGATGTGTGTAATAGCCACAGTGTGACACTGAGTAATAGACAACATTCTGCTCCTTAATAAGAATGATGTGCAGCTAAATACTAATACTGAATATTACTGTTTCTCTTCAGTACTAATACTATTACCAATGTGTGGTATACTAAAGACAATAGAGTTCTAGTACTGAAGAGAAACAAGATGGTGAAATTAAATTCCTCTGTAAATACAACAACATGAAACACGTACCGTCCAGGACTGTGAGAAGCACTTCATGAGACGTGTCTACGAATAATCTCTCCACTCCACACCAGTAGGTCCCAGAGTCTGACATCTTCAGGTTCTTGATGGTAACAGTGAAGTCTCCATCTCCTCTGTCATCTATACTGTATCTCCCTCTCTCAATATAGTTCTTGCTGTCCTCAGTTTGAACCAGAATATCTGAACCAGTGCAGGTGTCCTTGCAGAAGTATTTTTTGTTGCTCTGTGCAAATATATGTGAGCATTTGATTTCCACCTGTCCTCCTTCACGTCCAGTCACTGCCAAACCCTCTGACTCAGCTGGACACAGAGCTGTCACATGAAAACATGAGAAATAGTCCAGTCCAGTATTAAAACCTGTCACCCCAACACTTCATCTTTCTAAATGTATCTTTACACACTATTTTTTATCGTGAATACATAAAACACACACTAGAGTACCTACAGTATGTAATAAAACTGTAATACAACTGAGTGAACTCACCTAACAGAAGGGTAACCATGGTGATGAAGACTTTGTACATGCTGCTCTACCACAACTCTCTCTCTCTCCTCTCTCTCTCTCTCTCTCTCTCTCTCTCTCTCTCTTCTCTCTCTACGCTCTCTCTCTCTCTCTCCTCCTCTATCTCTCTTCTCTCTCCAGTTCCCGTGTTCATTTTTTTCTTTTTTTCCCGGGTACTGTCAGATTCCATTCTTTATCTTCCCCTTTTTTTTAAGTCACAGATCCAATTTTATAATGATGATCCTTTCCCATCTCTCTATCTTCTCTCATATTAACTTTTCTTCTATCTCTAATCTCTCTTTCTTCTTCTCTAATCTGTCTCTCTGTCTGTTTCTCCCCTCAAACAAAATCTCACTTTATTTTACTTGCCTTATCTCACCTCTCGGCTCAACTAGTTCCTCCATCTTTTTCTCCTTTACTGATCCCAACAAAGTCAAATAGTTTTTCCCTCTCTCAACCCAACCCAAAAGAAAAAATGAAATGCCCTTTTAAAAGAAAACCTCGCCCCTTTTACTTTCCTTTCTACTCCCCGAGTCTTTTTATTCCTGGTTTAATTTTCTCTTTCATTTTCCTATTTAATCTTCTCTCACACATTTCAATTTCTCCTCCTGCCCCCTAACTTTGATTTTTACTGGGGGGGAAATGAGGGGGGTAATGCCCCAGTGGACATCTTTCAATATAACTTTACTAATGTGTTTTTTATACTAAAGGGCAAAAGAGTTCTGTACGAAGAGAAAACAAATTGTGAAATTTAAATTTCCTTTGTAAAACAAAAACCATTGAAAACCCCTACCGTCCCGGGCTGGGGGAAGGAAATTTTTGGTGTGTCTACGAAAATCTGTTCACTCCAACAAGTGGTCCCCCGGGTTTCATCTAAGGTTTTGTGGGAAAAGGAAGTCCCATCTCCTTTCTTATTGTATCTCCTCTCCAATTTTTGTTCTGCTGTCAGTTTAAAACCAACTATTGAATAGTGCAGCTTCCTTGCAGAAGTATTTTTTGTTGCTTGTGAAATTTGGGGCATTTGATTTTTCCACCCGTCCTCCTTAAGGTCCAGCACTGCCAACCTGAAACTGGGAAAAGAGCGTCAAAATGAAAAAAATGAGAATAGTCCGTTCAAATTAAAACCGTACCCAACCCTTATCTTGTAAAGTACTGACCACAATTTCATCATGAAACATAAAAAACACACTAATACTAAGTAGATAAAAATGTAATTTTAAACGAGTTTTAAATACTTTTAAAGAAGGGAAAGGGGGGAGAAGACTTTCCATGCTGCTCACCCCAAAACTTCTTTGAGAAACACCCAAAAACCCCCTAGTCCCCCCCTTTTTTAACCCCCCTTGGGGACTCCCTTCCCCTTCCCCCTTCTTTCTCCCTTTTTCTCTCCTCATCCTCTCTTCTCTCTTCTTTTCTCTCTTTCTCTTTTTCTTCCTTTTCTCCCTCTCCTCCTTTCTCCTTTCCCCGAGGTCACTTCAGAGAAATCACCAGGATATTATATCCTGGTGATTTCTCTGAAGTGACTTCAGTGTCTGGAGGTCTATTTGCTGCAGATTGAAACTGGTTCAAACCGGCCGAAGGTTAGACTTCTAAACCACAAGAGAACTCAGCTAGCTGTGGTGACTAAGTGTTAAAAACTGTCAACTTCTCTGTTCTAAAGTTACCATGTTTCTTTCAGCAGAGGAGGAACACATTGTTGAGATGATGACAATATAGTTAAAGTATACGTCATTATATTGTATTACTTTTCTATGACATTTCATTGATCCAAATACAGTCTTTGTAAATGATCAACTCAACAGATGAGTTTCTGAACAGGAGAAACATCCCTCCTCTACAACCCAACTCCCCCTTAATGAATGATGTCATCACATAACAGACAAGCAACTGAGATCTCAGTAAACAAATAAAACAACCTCCACATCGCCCCCTACAGAATGTTATCAGTACTGATGAATAAATATACTCTAATCTCGACAACCAGATGGTTCTTTCTCTCTCTATTGATCCTGGGGACGAGGTTACAGTTATTCAAATAAACTAGATGTTTCAACTCAGTCAATTCAGGAAGTGAAGTGAAATTCCACATAAAAAATGATGGTCATCAATGATAAATTGTATTGCGATTCATTGTCTGTATTGAAATGGAACTAAATTCAATTAAATTGAACCCCAGCTCTGGCAACACAAACACTGTGTCACAACCAGACGATCAGATTGGAGTCTGGCCCTGTGGAACACAGAACATACACTGTACATACAAAAGTATGTGGACGCCCCTTCAAATCAGTGGATACAACTATTTCAGCCACACCCGTTGCTGACTGGTGTATAAAATATAGTACCCAGCCATGCAATCTCCATAGACAAACATTGCCATTAGAATGGCCCTAGTGAAGAACTCAGTGAATTTCAACGTGGAACCATCATAGGATGCCACCTTTCCAACAAGTTAGTTTGGCAAATTCCTGCCCTGCTAGAGCTGCCCCTGGTCAACTTGTAAGTTATGTTATTGTAAAGTGGAAACGTTACCCCAACAGCATTACAATGACATTCTAGACGATTCTGGCTTCCAACTTTGTGGCAACAGTTTGGGGAAGGCCCCTTCCTGTTTAGCATGACAATGCCCCTATCCCAAGTTTCATAAACCACCTAGTCCCCCGACTGTACCAGTTCCATAACCACCTAGCCCCCCTACGTACCATTTTAAACCCCCTAGCCCCCCGAGTACCAGTTTTAAACCCCCCAGTCCCCCGAATGTACCAGTTTCCTAACCCCCTGTCCTCCTAGTACCAGTTCCTAACCACCTAGCCCCCCAAACTGTACCGGTTCCCCCCACCTAGTCCTACAACAACTACGTACCAGTTTCCAAACCCCCTGTCCCCCGACTGTACCATTTTCCTAACAACCTGTCCTACTACAACACTGTACCATTTTCCCTAACCACCTAGTCCCCCGAGTCCCCTTTTTCCTAACCCCCCCAGTCCCCCTACGTCCAGTTTCAAACCACGTCCTCCTAAACTATGTCCCTTTTATAACCCCTGCCCCCCGACTGTACCAGTTTCCAAATCCCCAGTCCCCCTATGTACGTTCCTAACCCCCTTGTCCTCCTTTTTGTCCCAGTTAAACCACTAGCCCCCCCAAACTGTACCGGTTTCCAAAACCACCTAGCCCCACTACAACTACTGTACCATTTTCCTAACCCCCTATCCCCTACTGACCATTTTCCTCCCACCTGCCCCCGAGTCCCAGTTCCTAACCCCCTAGTCCTTACAACTTTTTAAAGTTTCCAAACCCATAGTCCCCGACTGTACCAGTTTCCAACCCACCTAGTCCTCCTACTGTCCCATTTTCAAACCCCCTAGTCCTCCAAAAAACTACTTTACCTTTTCTCCCCACCTAGTCCCCCGATTTACCAGTTTCTAACCACCTAGCCCCCCTACTGTACCAGTTCAAAAACCACCTAGTCCCCATGTCCCCTTTTTTCCTAACCCCCTCCCCCCGGAATGTACCATTTTCCTAACCATACTCCACTACAATACTGTCCCAATTTTCCTAACCCCCTATTTTCCCCTACGTCCCGGTTTTCATAACCCCTAGCCCCACTGTACGAGTTTCCTAACCCCCTAGTCCCTGAATGACCTTTTCCAACCACCAGTCCTCCTACAACTACTGTCCCATTTTTCCAAACCACCTAGCCCTCCTAAAACTACGTACCAGTTTTCCAAACCACCTGTCCCCTACTGTCCAGTTTCAACCCCTATCCTCCACAATACTGTACCATTTTTCAAACCACCTGCCCCCGACTGTACCATTTTCCTAACCACCTATTCCCCACTGTACTTTTTATAACCATCTAGTCCCCGACGTACCAGTTTCCTAACACCTAGTCCCCAAGGTACATTTTCCTAACCACCTAGTCCACCCTACAACTAGTACCTTTTCAAACCCAAAACGTCCCCTACGTCCGGTTTCAAACCCCCTAGTCCCCCGATGTACAGTTCATAACCCCCTAGTCCCCCGGACTGTACCATTTTCCCAACCCCCTATCCCCCCTAAAAACTACGTCCATTTTCCTAACCCCCACACCCGACTGTCCCTTTCCCTAACCCCCTATCCCCTCGTACCAGTTTCCTAACCACCTAGCCACCTACAACTTGTCCCAGTTTTTAAACCCCCTAGTCCCCCTACTTACGGTTTCAAAACCCAAAAGTCCCCGAGTCCCATTTTCCTTAAACCTATTTTACCCGATGTACCAGTTTTTAACACCTAGTCCCCCGAATGTACAGTTTCCAACCCCTAGTCCACCTAAACTACTGTAAGTTCCAAACCACCTACACCCCCGACTGTACCAGTTTCCAAAAACCCTATCCTCCACTGTCCAGTTTCCTAACCACCTGCCACCTACAATTGTACCGTTTTTAACCCCCTAGCCCCACCTACGGGTTTTCAAAACCCCTGTCCCCGACTGACCAGTTTCAAAAAACCCCATCACCCGACTGTCCCAGTTTCAAAACCACCTATCCCCAAAATGTACCTTTCCCCAAAACCCACCAGTCCCGATGTACCAGTTCCAACCACCTAGCCCTACTAAACTACGTACCGTTACAACCCCCTGCCCCCATACAAAACGTACCTTTTTCATAACCACTAGTCCCCCGAGTCCAGTTTCCTAACCCCCCAGTCCCCCCCCCGTACCAGTTCAAAAACCCACCTAGTCCCCAGGACTGATACCAGTTTCCATAACCACCCCTAAGATCATCCTACACGCTCCCCAGCTTAGGAATGATACAAGAGGTTGTAATGTTTCATACGTGTTCTGGGGTCCCAGTGGTCACCAAGAAGAGGAGGCTAGGGAAGAAGGAAGACACATGATGAAGATACTGGTGTTGTGTGTGTGGTGCTGTGTTGGTGTGTGTGTGTGTGTGTGTGTGGTGTGTGTGTGTGTGTTGTGTGTGTGTGTGTGTGATTCTTCAACAAATATTGACGAGGCACTAGAACAGTCTGCAGCACCCGGCCTCACCCTACTAGAATGAAGTCAAATGTCTACTGTTTGTTGATGATCTGGTGCTTCTGTCCCCAACCAAGGAGGGCCTACAGCAGCACCTAGATATTCTGCACAGATTCTGTCAGACCTGGGCCTTGACAGTAAATCTCAGTTAGACAGAAATAATGGTGTTCCAAAAAAGGTCCACTTGCTAGGACCACAAATACAAATTCTATTTAGACACCATTGCCCTAGAACACACAAAAACCTATACCTACCTCGGCCTAAACATCAGCACCACAGGTAACTTCCACAAAGCTGTGAACGATCTGAGAGACAAGGCAAAAAGGGCCTTCTATGCCATCAAAAGGAACAACAAATCCTGTCTAAATAAACTTAAATCAGTTGTAGAACCCATTGCCCTTTATGGTTGTGAGGTCTGGGGTCCGCTCACCAACCAAGAATTCACAAAATGGGACAAACAACACATTGAGACTCTTCATGCAGAATGTTGCAAACACATCCTCTGTGAACAACGTAAAACACCAAATAATGCATGCAAAGTAGAATTAGGACTGCACGCTATACTAAGGTATGACGCAACTTATAAATGAGGAACCACTGTAGGCTTGCTATTGAGAAAGGATGCCATAGCCAGACCTGGCTCTCAAGAGAAGACAGGCTATGTGCACACTGCCCACAAAATTAGATGGAAACTGAACTGCACTTCCTAACCTCTTGCCAAATGTATGACCGTATTAGTGAAGTCTCCATCTCCTCTGTCATCTATAGTGTATCTCCCTCTCTCAATATAGTTCTTGCTGTCCTCAGTTTTAACCAGAATGTCACTGTTACTTAAACATCTACTGTTGCAGAAGTACTTGTAATTGGTCCCTGCCCATGTGAATGAGCAGACGAAAGCGACCTGTCCTCCAACAACTCCGGTCACGTTAGTGATGACTGAGTCCACAACACATAGAGCTGTCAAACAGAAACACACAGTCACTAAAGAGGAACTGGACCACATTGTCCTGAACACCATCATACTGGACCCATCAACAGAGAGGTAAGAGGACAACATACAGGCCATCATTACAAGGTAGCATAATATACTCATTATATCATCTGAACAGATCTATTGTGTAATGTAGACAGACAGAACTATAGAAACTGATACAGAACTCACCTGAGAGGAGACAGAACTCACCTGAGAGGAGACAGAACTCACCTGAGAGGAGACAGAACTCACCTGAGAGGAGACAGAACTCACCTGAGAGGAAACAGAACTCACCTGAGAGGAGACAGAACTCACCAGAGAGGAGACAGCAGGAGACATCTTCATTATGGACAGTTACTGGTCAGTTACTACACTGTTCAAGTTACTTTACTATCACAGTTACTATACTTGTCACGAACGTCTAAGGAAGCGGACCAAGGCGCAGCGTGTTGAGCGAACATGTTGACTTTATTAAATTAAAGCAACCACGAAACAACAAAACAAATGACGATACGTGAAGTCCTCTGTGACACTGACAGAACATGGAACAAAAACCCACAACCACAAGGTGAAAACACACAGTTTAAATATGGCTCCCAATCAGAGATAACGAGCCGACAGCTGACACTCGTTACCTCCGATTGGGAGTCATTGATCAAACAAGGAAACATACCAAATAGACAACCAACCAAAACAGAACACAACGAAACGAACACACCCTGGCTCAAAACACAAAGTCCCGGAGCCAGAGCGTGACAGTACCCCCCCCCTAAAGGCGCGGACTGCGACCGCGCCTCAAACCCCCAAAATAGGGGAGGGCTGGGGGGGTGTTGCTCCTCGGAGGCGGCTCCGGCTCCGGGCTTGACCACCACCCTACTTCACTCCCCCCGTAGTGCCCCCGGTCCGATCTGACCCAGCTTGCTGGATCAGGACCTCCGACGCGCACCCCTGGCTTGGCGCGTGAGGTAGGAATGGACCGGAACTGGCTGACGATACGCACCCTAGGCTTGATGCGTGGAGCCGGAACGGGCCTCACCAGGCTGACGACTCGCATCCCTGGCTTGGTGCGAGTAGCAGGAATGGGCTGGATCAGGCTGACGGCTCGCACCCTTGGCTTGGTGCGAGTAGCAGGGACGAGCTGAACACAGGCTGACGACTCGCACCCTTGGCTTGGTACGAGTAGCAGTAACGGGCTGGACCAGGCCGACGACTCGTACCCCTGGCTTGGTGCGAGTAGCAGGAACGGGCTGGACCAGGCTGACGACTCGCACCCTTGGCTTGGTGCGAGTGGCAGGAACAGGCCGGGTCGGGCTGGCGACGCGCACCGTAGACTTGGTGCGGGTGGCAGGAACAGGCGGACCGGGCTGGCGACGCGCACCGTAGGTTTGGTGCGAGTGGCAGGAACAGGCCGGGTCGGGCTGGCGACGCTCACCGTAGAACTTGGTGGCGGGTGGCAGGAACAGGCCGGACCGGGGCTGGCGACGCGCACCGTAGGTTTAGTGCGTGGAGCAGGAACAGGCCGTGCGGGGCTGGCGACGCACACCGTAGGTTTGGTGCGTGGAGCAGGGACAGGCCGGGCAGGGCTGGCGACGCACACCGTAGACTTGGTGCGAGGAACAGGAACGGGCCGGGCAGGGCTGTCGACGCACACCGTAGACTTGGTGCGAGGAACAGGAACGGGCCGGGCAGGGCTGTCGACGCACACCGTAGACTTGGTGCGAGGAACAGGAACGGGCCGGGCAGGGCTGTCAACGCACACCGTAGACTTGATGCGTGGAGCAGGGACAGGCCGGGCTGGGCTGGCGACGCACACCGTGGGTCTGGTACGTGGAGCAGGAACAGGTCGGGCAGGGCTGTCGACGCACACCGTAGACTTGGTGCGAGGAACAGGAACGGGCCGGGCAGGGCTGTCAACGCACACCGTAGACTTGATGCGTGGAGCAGGGACAGGCCGGGCTGGGCTTGGCGACGCACAACCGTGGGTCTGGTACGTGGAGCAGGAACAGGTCGGGCTGGACTGGCGACGCACACCGTGGGCTTGATGCGTGGAGTAGGAACAGGCCGGTCCGTACTGGGAACACACACCACTGGCCTTAACCGGGGATCAGGAACGGGCCGGACCGGACTGGTAACACACCTCAGTCTCTTACGCCGTGCCTCAACTGCTTCCCTCCCTCTACTCGCCAATGGCTCCCGTAATCCGGTAGCCTTCTCTCCACGTCTCCCTGTGGCAGCCTCCTGCTGCCCAGCCGCCCAAGCCATGTGCCCCCCCCAAAAAACTTTTTGGGGTTGCCTCTCGTCCTTCCAACGATGACCCTGCTGACGCCGTTGCTCCTCTCTCGCCAGGGCCTTGATCTTCCCCCAAGGTCCCTTGCCCCCGAGCATGTCCTCCCAGGACCACGATTTGCCCACCTGGGCCATCGCCAGCCTCTCGATCTCCTTACCAGGCGCCTCCTCCCATGTCCAGTCTCTTTGCTCCTGGACACGCTGCTTGGTCCTTTTGTGGTGGGTTTTTCTGTCACGAACGTCTAAGGAAGCGGACCAAGGCGCAGCGTGTTGAGCGAACATGTTGACTTTATTAAATTAAAGCAACCACGAAACAACAAAACAAATGACGATACGTGAAGTCCTCTGTGACACTGACAGAACATGGAACAAAAACCCACAACCACAAGGTGAAAACACACAGTTTAAATATGGCTCCCAATCAGAGATAACGAGCCGACAGCTGACACTCGTTACCTCCGATTGGGAGTCATTGATCAAACAAGGAAACATACCAAATAGACAACCAACCAAAACAGAACACAACGAAACGAACACACCCTGGCTCAAAACACAAAGTCCCGGAGCCAGAGCGTGACAATACTGTTCAAGTTACTTTATTATCACAGTTACTACACTGTTCAAGTTACTTTACTACCACAGTTACTATACTGTTAAAGTTACTTGACTATACTACCAGCTAGCACAGGTCCACAACAGCTTCTCTGTCAGCTATTCGTTTGACAGCAGGGTGTTTCTGAAATGATCTGTCTTCCTTAATTGAAGCTCCTCCCTCCTCTGACAACCCACTCCTCTCTCTGTCTCTCTTTCTGTCTCTCTCTCTCGCTCTCCATTTCTTTTCTTCTTCAAATAGCTTTATTGGCAGGATGTGCATATTGTCAAAGCATACTTTGGAACTAGAATGATTTATTAAGAATATTAACATAATTAAAAAATAGCCAAGATTGTCAATGCAACTTGACTGGGTGGGGGATTGGGGGGGTATTGGGTTGTATTAGAAATGAAAATCCCTAACAAAATAAGGGCTCTATTCAATATGTATCCCTGAAGTGTTACAGACTGCACGTTAGAAATGTAAAGGTCATTTCTGATTGAGCCGACATATGCAGCATTTACCATGAACGCAGTCTCCACTAACACAGGAACATTACCTTTGAATATTCATCAGGCTGTAAAGCTCAACTTCCTGGATACGGATTGAATAGAGCCCTAAGTAATAAACATACAATAGAGTTAACAATAACAACAACAATGTCATAGATGACATGTTGGTCTGTCAGATACTGTCCCTAAAGAATTCACAACAGTTTCAAAGGAATAGAGACATTTCATATGTCATTATGGCTACAGAATGGAATTATCTCTGTCTCTCTCTCTTTCTCTTTCTCTCTCTCTCTCTCTCTCTCTCTCTCTCTCTCTCTCTCTCTCTCTCTCTCTCTCTCTCTCTCTCTCTCTCTCTCTCTCTCTCTCTCTCTCTCTCTCTCTCTCTCTCTCTGCTGTGTGAAAATGGTTCAAACCGGCCGGAGGTTGGACTTCTGAACCACAAGAGAACTCAGCTAGCTGTGGTTGTATACCAAATAGCACCCTATTCCCTACATAGTGCACTACTTTTGACCAGGCCCCAAAGGGCTATGAGTAATATAGTGATCATAGTAACCATAGCAACGGAGGCTATGTTGTCAGCAGCAGCTCTCCACAAAACCTCAGGTAGTTGCATCACTTCCTCTAGGCCTCTGAGAGACTCACATCTACACCATCATCACCATGACAGCCCCTTTTACCAAATAATAGAATACTATTAGATTTTAGCCACCAATGAAATCAGTAGACATGAAACCTAGCAGCACTCTGCCTCTGTCCTGCACCAGGAGAGTAGTCTGAGGGAGGAGAATCTAGAGAGAGGGGGAGAATATGTGTGTCTGTCACGTCTCCTCCCGTTGCTCCCCTCTGGTGCTCTGATTCGCCGGTCTACTGAGCCACCGGTCTGAGCGCACCACCTCGGCAACACCGGAATGGAAACCCAACGCACCCTAATCACCTCCAGCGCACCTGCACCTCATCATCTCATCACCACCCCTATATAGCCCTGAACTGTTCAGTGTTGTGTTGTGTGTGTGATTATTAGTGTCATGTCGGGTACTCACTCTTTGTTGTACTCTTGCTCAGTGTTAAGTAAACCTTTACATTGTTGATTCCTGCGTCTGCGTCCTGCCTCTAGAATCTAGGGAGAGGGGGAGAATGTGTGTGTCTGTGTTTGTGTATGTACGTACACTCTTCAGACCTTGTCACACAAGTGTTTTTGTGCCCATTGTTAGAGTAGACAGTCCAATATCTTGTCATTATAATACATGTATGTAATTTAGCCAGGAGCAATTAGGTTTAATGCCTTATTTCACCTCGTCGGTTCAGGGATTCAAACCAGCTACCTTGCAGTTACTGGTCCAACGCTCCTAACTGCTGGGCTACGTGCAGCCCATAATAAATTATCTTTGCTGTCAGGAGGAAGGGTCTAGAGAAGTCAGATGTTTTTTATTTAGTTAAGAATGTACAATACTATATACGATTCAGAAAAATTCACATCATAAAACCACCACAATAAAAAGATAACAGATTTATATTACACTTCACATTATAATAGTACAGGGTAATAATAATAATAATAATAATAATCATCATCATCATCATCATCATCATCATTATAGTAATATTAATAACAATGGTAATAATAATAATTATAATCATCATCATTATAGTAACAACAACAACAACAACAATAATAATAATAATCTATTGGGTGGGTGCGCTGTTTGCCGTTGTTATCGAGTACTGACGGTGAATGTCGTCACTAAAACACGGCAAATGAGGAAGAATTATCAGACAGATCAAAAAAGGAATAATTGTTTCTCAGACAGCTCCATGTGTCTCTGATGGTAATGGCTTTTGAAATATTTTTGAGCCTTTAGTGAGCCTCGCTGTCGGTTTTGAGCAGGGCATTTGGAATTCGCCGCCGGCCTCCTAAATTGCAAATCAAGTGATACCTCCGCCTACACGGGCAAGAACCAGGCGTCTCATACTTTCAAGACATGCACACTCACTGTCACTGAGAGAACAGGAAGTAGCTAAGTGACTGTGTCAGTAAGGAAAAGGCTATAAGACTGTGACCTCATATCCTCGCCTCAGAGGAGCTGTGTGGATGATTGACAGTAGAGTAGGCGGGGCTTTGACCAAAGTTCACAGTAGCATAGTCACATGAGGAAGTGCCCTCTTTATCGATGGCAACGGTGGCCTCATTGCGGCAGCTGCCCTCTTTAGTGATGGTGACTCTGGCTTCGTTGGGGCCGCTGGGGTTCTTGTGGAAGTTGATGCTGGCGTAGTGGGGAGAGTCAGAGTGGCTTGTGGGTAAGTTGGCGGTGGCGTAGATGGTGGTGGGCGCAGCGTCTGAGTCTGACTGTAGGGGGCGCTCCTTTATCTCCTCATAGTCACCGTCACCATGACAACCCTGAAGAGGAGGGAGGAGAGAAAAAGGGAGGAGGAAGAGGAGAGAATAGTATGACATCACAAACACACTCAATGACATCCCTCAATGACATCACTCAATCAAATCACTCAATGACATCACTCAGTCACATGACTCAATGACATCACTCAGTCACAAAAACTAACAAACAAAATACACTGACCCCTTCGTTGTTCCCTTTGTCTGGGCTCACTCTGAGTGTTGAAGAGACAGATCCTGTGGAACACAACACACATTACTCAGAGAGGAGAGAGAGAGAGAGAGAGAGAGAGAAGGATGGGAGGAGAACTCGAGACGAGGGTGGCTCGAGGAGATGAAGAGCGGAGGGGATGGAGTGTGGAAGGAGAGGAGAGAGAGAATGAGAGGATTTGGACGGGAGGAGTGAGAGAGGAGAGAGAGAGAGGAGACACACACACCACCACACGCGCTGATACGGAAACCGATTTAGACAAACCTACGGGTAACTATACTATATCCAGTCTATCCACTAACCTACCCTCTATCATAAACACTACATACCAGGACATGGTCTAACCAACTAACCTACCCCCTCATATCATAACACTACATACAGGACATGTCTTACCACTAAACCTACCCCTCAAATTCATAACATTTTTACTATACAGACATGTCTACCACTAACCTACCCTCATATCATAAACACTACATACAGTACATGTCTACCACTAAAACCTACCCTCATATCATAACAATACATACAGACATGATCTACCCCACTAATCCTACCCTCCATATCATAACACTACATACAGACATGTCTACCAACTAACCTACCCTCATATCATAACACTACATACAGACATGTCTACCCACTAACCTACCCTCATATCATAACACTACATACAGACATGTCTACCAAAGTGAGACTCAGACATTTGTATTGGTAAAATGTAATTTACCAGATCCGTTTAGTGATGATGGTGGTGATGATGATGATGGTGAGGTGAAGGTGGTTGTGGCTGGTGCTGCTGTAGTTGTAGTTGTAGCTGGTGTTGGTGGAGCTGTTGCTGTTGCTGTTGTTGTTGTTGTTGTTGTTGTTGCTGTTGTTGTTGTTGTTGTTGTTGTTGTTGTTGTTCTTGTGGTGGTGGGTAGTGCCACTGAAAACAATGGACACAAGTGGGATTTTTTATTTGCAAGGTGAGGAGAGGGAGATATGGAGAGATGAGGAGGGAGAAAGAGAGTGATGGAGGTAAAAAGAAAGGGAGATGGAGAGAGAGAGTTACAGGGAGAGAGAGATATAGAGGGGTTTTTCTCTTGTTCCTGTTGAGGTGTTTTAGTTCTCCTGTAGCTCACTACATCTCTCTCTCTCTCTCTCTCTCTCTCTCTCTCTCTCTCTCTCTCTCTCTCTCTCTCTCCTCTCTCTCTCTCTCTCTCTCTCTCTCTCTCTCTCAAATATTTCACATGACAACTGCAGGTTTCATGATGACATCCATACTGAAACTTGGGGTTTTATATCTTGAAAACATGACTGCTTAGTGATTCTGAGACAGATATAGAAACACACAGATTACAGAGGAAGTTACAGTGTTCTGGCCCAGTGTCTTTTCACACCACTACAAACACACAGACACACCCAGCCTCCACTAACACACTCACTGCCTGCTGTCAACCACTGAACAACTACTACTGATAAGATGTTTAGTTCAATGTCCCTCCAATCTGTGAATGACATAGAAAAATAATATATACTCCGCCAGTCAAAAGTTTGGACACACCTACTCATTCAAGGGTTTTTCTTTATTTGTACTATTTTTAACATTGTAGAATAATAGTGAAGACATCAAAACTATGAAATAACACATATGGAATCATGTAGTAACCAAAAAGGTGTTTAACAAATCAAAAAATCTATTATATTTGAGATTCTTCAAATAGCCACCCTTTGCCTTGATGACAGCTTTGCACACTCTTGGGATTCTCTCAACCAGCTTCATGAGGTAGTCACCTGGAATGCATTACAATTAACAGGTGTGCCTTCTTAAAAGTTAATTTGTGGAATTACTTTCCTTCTTAATGCGTTTGAGCCAATCAATTGTGTTGTGACAAGGAAGGGTGGGTATACAGAAGATAGCCCTATTTGGTAAAAGTCCATATTATGGCAAGAACAGCTCAAATAAGCAAAAATAAAAAACTGTCCATCATTACTTTAAGACATGAAGGTCAGTCAATATGGAAAATGTCAAGAACTTTGCAAGTTTCTTCAAGTGCAGTCGCAAAAACACTCAAGCGCTATGATGAAACTGGCTCTCATGAATGAAAGACCTAGAGTTACTTCTTCTAAAGAAGATAAGTTCATTAGAGTTACCAGCCTCAGAAATTGCAGCCCAAATAAATGCTTCACAGAGTTCAAGTAACAGACACATCTCAACATCAACTATTCAGAGGAGACTGTGTGAATCAGGCCTTCATGGTCGATTTGCTGCAAAGAAACCACTACTAAAGGACACCAATAATAAGAAGAGACTTGCTTGGGCCAAGAAACACAAGCAATGGACATTAGACCAGTGGAAATTTGTCCTTTGGTCTGGAGTCCAAATTTGAGATTTTTGGTTTCAACCACCGTGTCTTTGTGAGATGCGGTGTGGGTGAACGGATGATCTCAACACATGTATTTCCTACCGTAAAGCATGGAGGAGGAGGTGTTATGGTGTGGGGGTGCTTTGCAGGTGACACTGTCTGTTATTTATTTAGAATTCAAGGCACACTTAACCAGCATGGCTACCACAGAATTCTGCAGCGATACTCCATCCCATCTGGTTTGGGCTTAGTGAGACTATCATTTGTTTTTCAACAGGACAATGATTCAACACACCTCCAATCTGTGTAAGAGCTATTTGATCGAGAAGGAGAGTGATGGAGTGCTGGATCAGATGACCTGGCCTCCACAATCCCCCGACCTCAACCCAATTGAGATGGTTTGGGATGAGTCGGACGGCAGAGTGAAGGAAAAGCAGCCAACAAGTGATCAGCATATGTGGGAACTCCTTCAAGACTGTTGGAAAAGCTTTCCAGGTGAAGCTGGTTGAGAGACTGCCAAGAGTGTGCAAAGCTGTCATCAAGGCAAAGGGTGGCTATTTGAAGAATCTCAAATATAAAATATATTTTGATTTGTTTAACACTATTTTGGTTACTACATGATTCCATATGTGTTATTTCATCTTTTTTGATGGCTTCATACTGTGTATTGAGTGTATTGAGATAACTTGGTATTACAATACACCATCACTACCTTCCTGATTGCTATTCCCACAACAGAACACACACACACACACACACACACACACACACACACACACACACACACACACACACACACACACACACACACACACACACACACACACCACACACACACACACACACACACACACACACACACACACACGCACACACACTCACACGTACATGCAGACACGCACACACAAACACATAACATAGTTATTATTCAGAATCAGAATATTAACACAATACATAATAAACCATCAGCTTCCTGTTTAGCCATGCTATTCACACAATACACCATCACTGTAAACTATCTTCCTTATTAGCCATGCTATTGACACAATACACCATCACCGTACACTAGGTTCTTGATTAGCCATGCTATTAACACAATACACCATCACTAGACACTAGCTTCCTGATTAGCCATTATATTCAGAAATGCATTAAGATATTCACCAGATATATCTCACTTCTCTTTACTGTCTGTCAACAGAAACACACATCACAACCTTAGTCTAATACTAGACTGACTTAATTTAGTGATACTGACCACGCAATAACATATCTAGCTAAATTCATTTTATAAAGTAAAAGTCTCTCACCCTTCTTCACATCCAGCTCTACCTTGGTATAACTGTCAGGTGCATTAGGTATGTCCACTCCACACCAGTAGGTCCCTTCATCTTGTTTAGTCAGTTGTCTGATGATCACCTTGAAGTAGTTTCCTTCAGTGTTGTCATACAGAGAGAATCTACCACTGTGCTGCCAGGTGTTCTTCAATCCAGTTCTGATTATATCCTCACAACTCCAACTATACTCCCCCATGCATAAATATTTCTCATGACTTCTTTCTTCTATGGAATATTCACAGTTGATGATGACAGTTCTTCCAGAGTATCCTGTCACTTTGAAGGAGCTCAAACAACCTGTCAATCAGACAAGAGAAAATATATTTTATATTCCTCTTGGTTTAGTGATTTGTAATACTAATGTACTTATGGTTAAATTTTCCTACACCAGTGGCATCATCACATTACCCACACACACACTCCCACAGACACGCACACACGCATGCACTCATGCGCGCGCGCACACACACACACAGATCTACACAAACACACACACACACACACACACACACGCACACACAACTACACAAACACACACGCACAAACACACACAAACACACAAACACACACACACACATACAAACACACACACACACACACACCCACACACTCATCTGTAGTAGCAGCCTTTATAAGAAGACTAACTGGATGTTATTACATTGTTATAGAGAGTTATAACAAGCTTATTACCTGTCATGAAGGAGAGGAGGATGACTATCAACAGGATCCTCATCTTGTTGTGTTCTCTCCAGGTTGGTCCAGGTGTCTATAGGTCCTGATATAATGTTGTGTTCTCTCCAGGTTGGTGCAGGTGTCTATAGGTCCTGATATAATGTTGTGCTCTCTCCAGGTTGGTCCAGGTGTCTATGTGTCCTGATATAATGTTGTGTGTCCAAGTGCACAAACTCTCTCTGTTTCTCTCTCCACTTAAAAGTAACAAAAACAATCTTCAGGTACTTGGATTGGGGACGAGAGAGCGACGATGAGCGCTCGCTCGCTAGAGCGAGCGAGCGCGAGCTAGCTCTCTCCTCTCTCGCTCTATCCTCTCTCTCTCTGATTCGTCTGCCCCTTCTCTCTCTCACTCACTCCTTGCACTCCTACAACTATGTACTTCCCTATTTCTGCATCTCTTTCTCTCTCTCTCTCTCTCTCTCTCTCTCTCTACTAGTTCAAACCCTGTTATTTCTGACAGCCCCTCCCTCCTCCTCCTTAACCAATCATATCTCTGTTCCTACATCACACAGTAGAGAGAGTGAGAGTGAGAGAGAGAGAGATAAATAAATAAAGATGGAGGGTGAGAGAGAGAGAGAGAGAGAGAAAGGGAGTGTGAGAAAGAGATCAGTGAGACAAAAAGAGGGAGAGAGAGGCCTCTATGGATCAAAGCACAGAAACACATTAATACACTCTCATGCAGACTGGAGGCTGTCTGCAGAGGAGAGAAACAGTTATTCTGCCACTGGAGGGCGATCTCCCTCCATCTATCCCTCCATCTCTCCCTCCATCTATCCCTCCATCTATCCCTCCATCTCTCCCTCCATCTCTCCCTCCATCTCAACTCTGTTTGTCTAGTGACAGTGGTACATGCTGATGAGACAGGTACTGAGTTTACTGACAGCACCAGTGGAGGCTGGTGAGGGGAGGACGACTTATAGTAATGTCTAGAATGGAATGTATCAAACACATAGAAATATATTGGTGCTTTATTGATAAATACACATAGGCTCGTTTCCCAGTCAAGTAAAAAACACTGAATAATCAAAGCTTTCTAAAAGTGATAAACTGTCTCTTTTTGTTCAAGCCTAATGAATGGCGCCTGAGAAGATGGCTGCCGTTTTACAGCCCTCTAACCAATTGTACTATTATGTGTGTTTTTCCTCGTTATTTGTAATGTATTCTGTACCTAATGTTTCTGCCATCGTCTCTTATAACCAAAAAGAGCTTCTGAATATCAGGACAGCGATTACTCACCTCGTATTGGACGAATAATTTTTCTTTAACAAGTCGGACGCAAAGGATATCCTACAGACACCCAAATCTCTGTCATTCGCATGAGAAAGAGACGGAGATATCGTGGACGTAGGTCGGGGTGCCTTGTAAGGATCCAACGGCGAGCGAGTAAACTGCCTCTTCCATCAATCCTATTAGCCAATGTTCAATCATTTGAGAATAAATTGGATGACCTAAGATTACGCTTATCCTACCAACGGGACATTAAAAACTGTAATATCTTATGTTTCACAGAGTCGTGGCTGAACGACGACATGGACGCTACATCGGCAGGATAGAACGGCTGACTCCGGTAAGACAAGGGGTGGCGGTCTGTGTATATTTGTAAACAACAGCTGGTGCACAATATCAAATACTAAGGAAGTCTCGAGTTTTTGCTCGCCTGAGGTAGAGTATCTTATGATAATCTGTAGACCACACTATTTACCAAGAGAGTTTTCATCTATATTTTTCATAGCTGTCTATTTACCACCACAAACCAATGCTGGCATTAAGATTGCACTGAATGAGCTGTATAAGGCCATAACTGAACAGGAAAACGCTCATCCAGAGGCAGCGCTCCTAGTGGCCGGGGACTTTAATGTAGGGAAACTTAAATCCGTTCTACCTAATTTCTACCAGCATGTTAAATGTGCAACCAGAGGAGAAAAAAAACTCTAGACCACCTTTATTCCACACACAGAGACGCATACAAAGCACTCCCTCGCCCTCCATTTGGCAAATCTGACCATAACTCTATCCTCCTGATTCCTGCTTGTAAGCAAAAACTAAAGCAGGAAGCACCAGTGACTCGGTTAATAAAAAAGTGGTCAGACAACACAGATGCTAAACTACAGGACTGTTTTGCTAGCACAGACTGGAACATGTTCCGGGATTCTTCAGATAGCATTGAGGAGTACACCACATCAGTCACTGGCTTCATCAATAAGTGCATCGATGATGTCGTCCCCACAGTGACCGTACGTACATACCCCAACCAGAAGCCATGGATTACAGGCAACATCCGCACTGAGCTAAAGGGTAGAGCTGCCGCTTTCAAGGAGCGGGACTCTAACCCGGACGCTTATAAGAAATCCTGCTATGCCCTCAGACGAACCATCAAACAGGCAAAGAGTCAATACAGGACTATGATTGAATCGTACTACACTGGCTCTGACGCTCGTCGGATGTGGCAGGGCTTGAAAACTATTACAGACTACAAAGGGAAGCACAGCCGCGAGCTGCCCAGTGACACAAGACTTCCAGATGAGCTAAACCACTTCTATGCTCGCTTCGAGGCAAGCAACACTAAAGCATGCATGAGAGCACCAGCTGTTCCGGATGACTATGTGATCACACTCTCCGTAGCCAATGTTAGTAAGACTTTTAAGCAGGTCAACATTCACAAGGCCGCAGGGCCAGACGGATTAAGACGGTACTTGAGCATGTCGACCCAAGGTAAGGGGCTTTATGACTTTCAATTTTTTCCCCTG